TTACGTTTTGCACATGGGCCCCAAAATCATAGATACGGCCCTATTCATCTGTAACAAGACGCATCACCTCTAGTACATGTGAAGCCTAGATTCTGGTTTCTCTCTTCACCTCTCCCTACCTTTTCTCTCCCCTTTGGACCACCTATATACCCATGGTTGATGTTAGCTTCCTCCGGTACTACCCCATTTGAGCTGCCACCGTATTCTTTGAAAGCCATTAATTATCTGGAATTTACTATTAATTTGGTAAAGCGTGATTTTCTCTTTATATATACTACCGGGAGTAGCTACTCCTGCATCATCTGCTATACGTGCTTTCAAGCCGATCGCTATTTTCGTGGGATACAAACTTTTGAATGCATTATGCACGTCAGTTGTTTGCATTATCTGCCTGACGGCCGCATATATATATAGAGAGAGAAAATCCTCTATGTACCCATGAAAGTTCACCTAATCCCTTCTATACCCCTGAATTTTGCTCAATCCCTTACATACCCCTGAATTTTAGTTTGGATCCCTTCCATACCCTTTCAGCTAGTTGACCGTTAGTTGACTGTTAAATTCTTTTGAAAAAGTCCATTTTGCCCTTTGCTATAAAGAAACATAATAAATTAATGAAGTATATTGTTGGAATGTAAAAATTTATTGGATGAGACTATTATATTTATGAGAATGTGATGCACCATATTATTTGTGACAAATTTACTTTTACATATGATATAAAAAGTTAATACTTATTTATTAGTTATTAAAAGTTCTTTTATGTAGCATATGTGTTTTCATAGTAATACAACATATTTATTTATTACTATCAGAACACATATGCTAAAAAAACTTTTAATAACTAATAAATAAGTATTATTTTTTTATATCATATCTAAAAGTATATTTGTCGCAAATAATAAGGTGCATAACTATCTCATAAACATAATAGTCTCATATAACAAATTTCTATGCTTCAACAATATACTCTATTAATTTATATGCTTCTTTATACCAAAGGGCAAAATGGACTTTTTTATAAGAATTTAACGGTCAACTAACGGTCAGCTAGCTGAAAGGGTATGGAAGGGATCCAAACTAAAATTCAGAGATATGTAAGGGATTGAGCAAAATTCAGGGGTATAGAAGGGATTAGGTGAACTTTCACATTATGCCCGTTATGCCCATTTTCTAGGTTCTGCATTTTCAAGTTCTGGAGGAGCAGAACGTATCCATGCTGGTATTCAATTACACAAGCAGAACTTGATATGGGGACCAGAACGAAAATGTTCTGCTCTTGTTTCTGCTGGAGCCTTTTGCTCTAATAGTAGATTGAATCGTTTTTGAAGGAACAGAAACTATTCCGTCACATATTCATAATTATAGGAACAGGGAGATTAGCTTCTGTTGCATGCGTATACATATTTCTGTTATGCAGATTAGCTGCTGCCATATTATTAGCCTGTTTTTTCGTTTGCCGGCTAGTATATATCTTCTGTCGGCCAGGAGCAGAAAATCAATTCCAAAAAGAGCAGAACATCAGTTAGTTAGTTAGGAGCAGAAAATCAATTTGAAAAGAGCAGAACATCAACAATTGCATGTGCTGCCCGTTTATATACAACATATCACCAAACAGTGCTCACTTTCAAACGAAATTAATAATAAAAATATTGGTTTGAGAGCAGAACATATTCTGCCTCCTTATAAGTAGATCGAGTTTGTTTTGAAAGAGCAGAAGGTATTCTGCTTTCTTCTTGCCAAAGCTTCCTATAAGTAAACGGACTTTGTTTTTTGGAGCAGAAGATATATATTCTGCTTTCTTGTTTCTAGAAACAGAGATAATTTCAGGTACAAAATTCAAATCTCTTTCTGCTCCCTTTCTAACCGATGTTCTGCTCCTTTGGTAGTTTCTGCTGATTTTCAAGTTTTGGATCAAGGAGCAGAACTTACCGATGATGAGATTTAATTAGACGAGCAGAAGTTGAATATGTACTACTTATCTAAGTACGTACACAGCAGAAACTATACCCAGCAGAAACTCGGTTATGCAGAATATGTACTACTTATCTAAGTACGTATAGATGACATACAGTATGTTAGTAATCAACCGACAGAACATGTACTGCCGTCAAAAACGGATACGGAGAAAAAATAGGTGGCTGTTCTGCTAATTTTTTTATGTTGATGTTCTGTCATTCTTTTTAATTCATGGTCTGCCATTTTTTCTGTTGGCCGGCTAATATATATGTTCCACCGGCACGAGCAGAAGATAATATGTCAGGACGAGCGGGTGGGAGGAAGAAACTGCATCCGAGAAGTTGGTTTGCATGCAGCCGATGATTTAGCAACTATCTGAACTAACAAACTATTTAATTAAACAACACGGGTATTCATCGTTATTGGATCCTCGTCACTCCACTAACTGAATCCGATCCATAATAGGAGGGAGTAACTACCCTCGGTAGTAGGAAATAGGTGTCCTATCTATCTATCTATCTATAATATAATAGATAGATATAGATAGATAGATATCTATAATAGATAGATAGATAGAGAGAGAGAGAGAGATTTGAGCTCGGCATTGACAATTTTAATGTGGAGAACATCCAGGACGAGAATAGTCACGTGCAAGGCATTGTCAACAAATTAGATGAAAGTCTGAAACCATGTTACTTTGTTGAAATGTTACCGACAAGAGATACTTGATTAATCGATTTTCTTTTGGCCAAGTTCCGAGAGAATATGGTTGTGCAGCATATGAAATTTGGTTCGCCATATGTACAATATATTGAATATTGAATATTGAATGCTGCATCAAGACACGGGATGAATCATCACGATTCTTGAGTTACATTGCATCAATATTTTTCTGAAATGTTCAACATCTGGTCCTATTTTCCCCATATAACAGCTGGTAACGCACATCACGTATGACCATTCTGGTATATATCATATATGTGGTTCACTTGATTTTTTTTTATTTCAATACTAGAGTGCCAATCTTCTTTATGTGGTCTGAATGTGCCATGAAGAAAAGTATGTCATGCATATCTCATTGAAAAAAGATAATGTGGTTCACTTGAATTTTGATTTCAATACAAGAGTGCCCCGAGATCCATTATGGCGAGTTGTAGATTCATGCATATCTGTATAGTATCCTTGAAAAAAAAAAGTCACTCCGCAGATGTGTGCAGTTTGTACATTCAAGCATGCCATTCAGAAAATCATTAAAAATGTTCTTCTCCAAAATGACATTCTGGAAAATGATATCAGTTAAAACCAATGTACCAGTTAATTTATATTACAAAAACAATGGATCTCCATTCACCATAATGAGATTTTTACAAAATGGTATGTCTGTTACATCTCCATACTGACATTATACCAAAAAAATGCACATGAACTAAGATTTTTTACACAATCCAACTTTTCTTTCTCCAAATATAACAAGGTCAGAAATTAGCATCACTAATCACTGATCCGGAATCAAGAATCCCAGCTCACTTGCTCTGCCATCTTAATCAGTCGCTCCAGATTCCTGCTCACGCAGAAAGTAGGAACGCGGCCACCACATGCCTCACCTCATGGCCGCCTCGACGCGTGCCCTCACCATCGCAGCCACCTCGCTGCTTGCCGTGCCAGTGCTACATGGTAAAAACGCCAGCCTGCTCCTCCTCCCTTCTGGCTTGGGAGCTCAACCGCGCCAGCCGCCAATCCCGCAGGTCCTAGGAGCCGAGCCCCATGTCTATGAAGCCATTGCAGAGCGACAACTGGTGCAGCGGCCATGAAAGTGGCTGCCTGATCCGGCGACGAGGCTCCCGTCGACGTTGACCTCGGCTGTTCCTTCTACTTCCTCACCGGCTTCGTCCGACCGTGGGGGATCGGGAGCAGAAGGGCATTTGAGAACTGGAGAGGGGTAGAGAGATGATTGAGGAACAGGGGCGTCCACACTCCACAATTTCCCCATGGAGATGAAGGGGTCAGTGGATGAAGGGCATTTTGGGAAGGACACGGTACAAAGTGCACCATCCATCAGCAATTCCGCAGCGCCTAAAGGGAGGAAAGCAGGCATGGTACATCCTATTATCATCAGTCCCAAGATTCGTGCAGGGGAATGGAGGGTGTAGATTGCGAGTGCATGTGCACTCGGGTGCAAATAATCCAATTCCTATATATATATATATATATATATATATATATATATATATATATATAGACATAATAATCCAATTGTGAGTAATAACTAAAACACTCCCCCTCACACCCTACCCCCACCTAGGGATGAAAACGGAGCGGATAGTTTCCATCCGCTCCGGATAAAAACGGATACGGATACCTTTCGGATCGGATAATTCTCGGATATTTCATATACGGATACGAATACGAATATTTTCTCCCGGATACGAATACGAATATGGTATCAGGGTTTCCGTCGGATACGGATAATAATTCGGATATCCGGTGAACAGTGTTATTCGGATATCCGCAGGACCCATGAGACATACCCCATTTCTTTCTAACTCTATAACCTTCAATATACCTTTATAGATTTTAATAGTAGTTTATCTCTTAACATTAGTCCATACTATTAATATTATTTAAATTTTAAAAAATATTTATAAATTATACCTCATTTTATATAAAATGAGCTAATTATATATGTTGATATTTATTTCTATTAGAAGTTGAGTTGGTTTTCGTGTTCCGAGAAAAATTTGTTTCCGTATTCGTGTCCGATCATATTCGATTCTTATTCGTATTCAAGATAATCCGTATTTGTTTCCATATTCGAGCTATCCGTATTCGTTTTCGTATCCGATAAAAAATATGAAAACGAATATGGTATGAGCATTATCCGTCCGTATCCGCTCCTTTTTCATCCCTACCCCCACCCCCACCCCCACCCCCCTCCTACCCTGTGTCCCCAGCAGCCACCTACCCCGCAACCCAACCTTTCCCTGTAGCAAACAATTAGTAACTTTTTTACTGTCAACTTTACCTGATATATATATTACTCCCTCCCTCTTCAATGGTAGAAACGGTCAACCCACTTTCCCACCCTCTCCATTTTTTACGGATCTGGCGGCGCGACGGAGGCGAGGAGGAGAGGCGATGGTTGCGGTCGATGCAGCAGTTCAACAGCGGCGGCGGCCGTACCCTATGGTCAAGGAGTGGCGGCGTCCAGGCGACGGGCGGCGTGGAGGAGGCGGTGACGACGGCATCAGGGTGCGGTGGGGCAGCGGCGGGTGACGGCGACAGCCCTCGGCAGCGGCGGGCGGACGACGACGGCCTGCTACGGGCTCGTCAGGCCATCCCCCGCCCGGATCCGGCGGCAACACCCGTCCCTCGCGGCAGCGTCGGGTGACGGCAACGGCCTGCGGCAGCGGTGGGCGGCTCGGGAGCAAAACCCTAGCTCCTGCCGTCGCCGCCCTCCTTCCCTCCTCTCCTCCACATTCCCGTCGTCGAAGCGCGTCTCCAGGAGAGCCAGGCGGCGAGTCGGGATGTCGGTGGCGGGGCCGTCTTCTCTGCCTTCCCGCGCCGGTGGACGAGGAACAGGAGGGGATGGGGCCGGCACGTCATCCGGCAGCGGCGCCGCGGTGATCCGGTCGCTGCTCCCCGCCCGCTGTTGCTGCTGCTGCTGCTTTCCTGTCTTCTTGCTCTGGTTTTTCCCCTCTCATGGCGGTTGCTCTGTCTAGAGACTACTCCTCCTTTGGAATCCTTTTCAGTTTTGGTTGGATTAATTGGAGTTCGCTTTGCTGCGCGATTGCAATTGTTCTTGATTGATTTGCTTGGCTCAGAATAGTCCAAGGCTCTGTCCTTGTTTCTCTTCGCATACTGATTCCTGGTTAAGAATGGTCTTCGCTTTGTGCACTCGTTCTTCTGTCTCCACGAAGAAAATTGGCTTTCTCAAAAACCTGCAAAACTGGAAACAATAAAAACGAAACGAATTGCATATGATTATTATGTTGCTCGCAAACGGAATAGATTGAATCAGCACGATTGATGGATACAGTACATAGTCCTTGCTTGTCTCTGACTTTGCTCTCTACTGATAGGTACAGATGAGCCTGGGAAGCAAGTCGATCTGGAGTGCTGTCAAGATCAAGAACATCAGCAAGTCTAAATGTAGCATTTAAGGTAATTAACAGAGCTCCTCTCTGATGGCTTCTTCATCAAATTAAATGCTAATACCAGTGGTTTTGCAAATGATGGTAGTTACCAGTAACTCAGTAAGTAGTAGCCAGCAGTCCAGCTCCTGTTAATTTCAAAGATGCTGCTCGGATTAATGATAACATCAATCCTCTCAATAACTCAGGTTGAAGGTGAACTGTATTTTAGGATGAAATCAATCCTCTCAATAACTCATATTAAAGGTGAACTATATTTTAGGATTATCTGTCAATTTAGAGATGTTCATATTTTAACAGATGACTATGTATTGATCTCCACCATAAAAATCTGTTGGTTCAGTCCCCACCTACACTAATTTGATGGCTACTAATAAAGCACTAATTTGATGCATGCCTTTTGTTCTGGTTCCAAATAACAGCACCAAAGAGTTGCTTCATAAAACCTCCAGGTGGCATACTTGTTCTAGCAGTACAAACAATTTCAGCTTTTCCTAGTTTAGAGATTTGATTCTGGCATGACTGGTATGGGGAATATGATTAGTGCTTGGCTTTTGGGCTATCGGCTCATAAGTCTTCGGACAACATTTAATTGATAAGCCAATAGTTTCTGAAATTTTCTATTTGATGTGCTAGTAGATTCTTAGATTTTCTAGTTGATATTTTATTAGGCTATTAGCTTCTGAAATTTCCTAGCTTGGAAGAGTATTACTTGATAGGCAATACAGTTCTCTGAATTTTTTTTGTTCACACAGACATGTGCAGAAGTGATAATTTTTTAATCCGTCCAGTGGCTGCTCTCAACTCACCTGTTGATTTGCAGTGGTTATTGCTGAATGAAAGATGGGAGAATTTTCGTTCAGAGAAATTATATTCAGAGTTCTGAGTGTCATGTTCTCTCAGTTTGCAAGTACATGCCCTTCTCATAAATTTTTAGTTTGGTCGGCTGGACAATTTGATACTTACAGTTGTGTCAAAAGCTCTGAAATGTTATGAAAATTATGGGGTTTATAGACAAATCATGCTCTAAATGTCAATTAGAAATATGTCATTTGCAAATTTGTGTGTGCAGTATTCTGAGAAATCTGCTCTCATCTGAATTATCATCATCATGTTCTCTCATATGTTGGCGGGTTCCAGGGTGAAGGTTGGATCCTCGGTGGAGCATGCCGATGCTACCGACTCCACCATGGATGTAGCTGGCAGTGGGATTTTGACGTCGACCGTGAGTCTTCGGCACCGGCGATGGTATTTGGCGAGTTGGGATGTACTCGCTTCATCTCAATATGTAGCAACCTCTTCCAGATTTGTAGTTCTAGTATTGGTTTAATCTCATCCTAGATTGTAACATATTGCGACGGAGGGAGTAGTCATTGGTTACAATCTTCTTGATTTTTTTTATCAAAATGAATATGTGTATGTCTATTTCCCATCTGTAATTTTTATTGGTAAGGAACCAGCCAACACCGTAATATTGTATTCATGTTGTGTAGGATATATAATTTGAAAAAAAAACTCTTCTCATATATTGTCATCAAGTAAAACATTTACTATGCGTTAATAAGCGTTCATGATAAAAATACTAATAGATTGATACATAGCATTAAAAATAAAAATCACTTGGCAGTAAAAATACTACTACCACAAATAAGGCATCGAGCTACTGAAAATAACTAAAAAATCATTACTAATAATAAGGAACTTATCTACTAATATCATTACTAATAATAAGGAACTAATCTACTAATAATAAGAAATTAATCTAGTGATATATTCGTGAGTAACTGATTTACTGAAAAGATCTAACATGACTAAAAGCCAATAATTTATTTACCAAATGAAGATTGGTTGGGTGAAGTAATCTGTTAGTAATTTTTTTTACCGATGCTTCCGCGAGGGAAGAAAAATAGCAGATGTGAATGAGAAAAAAAAAAGGAAAAAAGGAGGGAGCGGAGGGAGTACGGACGGTTGGAAAAAAAAAGAAAAACGTGGCCTGGAGTGGGTCAGGCCGGGGGGGGGGGGGGGTTAGGGTATCTGAGGGGAGCGTTTTAGTTATTACGCACCCTGGGTGTAGTTTAGCTCTATTATATATATAGTAGCTCTATTATATACCCTTCCCTTAGAATAACTATTCTACACCACCTCCCCAACCAACTCCCACCCGATCCCGCCCTCCCCCCTCTCTCGTCGCGATCCCGCCCTTCCCCCCAGTCTCGTCGCGCCCCTCCCTCCTCCCTCTCCCTCTCTCTTTTTTCGATCTCTCTCCCACTCCTGGCGCCCTGGTATTTTCTCCCTCTCCCTCATCTCGATCTCTCTCCCTCTCCTGGTTTTTTCTCCCTCTCCCTCATCTCGATCTTTCTCCCTCTCCCGGCGCCCTGGTTTTTTCTCCCTCTCCCTCTCTCGGCGCCCTGGTTTTTTTTCTCTCGCCCGTTGGCCTCTCCCCCTCTAATTTTTTTTTCATCTCACCTTGGAAAGAAAATTTAAAATTAAAATGACAAAATCAAGACTTTAACCCATGACCTTATGATTCAAAGAAATTCTCTATTAACCAATTAACCATATGAGATCTTGTGATTAGAGTTTATTGCATCAATTTTATGTCTCTATTCAAGCTTTATGAGAGCAAATCACATATATTGTTGTGAAACTTATAATCTGTTATTATGTTCCAGTAGTAATATTATTGTAAAAGTGCAATAACACGTCACGTTACTGCAAAAGTATATAGGTTGTTACTGTAGTTCTGACAACATCATGTGAACTAGCTGGGTGGCCCGCGCAATTGCGCGGCTAGCGCCCAAACAAAATCATATATTTTTAGTATGATTTTACTTAAAATTTATTAAATACCTATCTCGTTGTCTTAAGACTTTGAATGACTAAACCTTATCATCCCCGTATTTCTAGTTATATAGTTTTTAAAAGTCACACCAATTTCTACCCCTTACTTCTGCCATCTCCTTCTTTATTTGCTGGCTAGATCTACCACTTTCTATTCATTCTTCTTGGAACCTTTAAAAATTGGATCTTATAGTTTTTAGAGTTTTTAGAGTCTATTGTCTTGTTAGGTTTCTTTTTATAATTTCTAGAAGTCACATCAAACGCTGCCATTATACTACTCTACGGTTCGTCCAATGTCTTTTCTCTTTATTGTCATTGGGATTTTAAAAATCGAATGTAATAATCGTTCGGGTTTATTTTTTACTTTTTAGAAGTCCCGCCAAACCGTTAGTGGCTTTGCCATTGAAATCCTCTATGGCTTATCTGCTGCCTCCCTTCTTTATTGTCATTGAGATTTTAAAATCGAACATGATTATCATTGGTTTTTTTTTACTTTTTAGAAGTTCCGAACCTTTAAAAATTGGACCTTCTAGTTTTTAGAGTTTATTGTCTTGTTGGGTTTCAATTTTCATAATTTTTAGAAGTCCCGTTAAACGATGCCACTATACTCCTCTACGGCCCACCCGCCGCCTACTCTTTATTATCATTGGGATTCTTCGAACATAACTACTGTTGGAATTCATTTTTTATTTTCTAGAAGTCCCACCAACCATCGGTGGCTCTGCGACTATACTCCTATACACCCAGCCCGCTGCTTCTCCTTTTTATTATCATTGAGATTCTAAAAATCGAATATGATTATTAATGTGGTTTATTTTTTTTACTTTCTAGAAGTCCTAGCAACCGCCTTGTCCGTTTGCTTCACGACATACCTGTTGTCCCTCCTTTTAATCGTCGTTAAGATTCTATTTGGTGTTTTATTAACAGTTATATGTCGTATCAACCGCCACCACTCTACTCCTTTATAGGCATGTTACTTAATTTATCTTGTCATGTGTTTTAGGTGGTCTTTTCTTTCAATAGTCCTTATTTTCTATCACCAATTAGTTATCAATAAATTGTATTCCTTATGGAAATTTTTTTTTCTTTTTCTAATTTCAGAATTTATTTTTTTTTTCAAATTTTAACCAATACTGTATATTGTTCTTTTAATATTTTTATTTTTCAATTCCAGTTGTTTCAAAATTGTATTCCTACTCAACCCTCTTTTACTTTTTTTATATTATTTTATTTTTTATTCAGAATTTTAATTAATCTTGTATCGGGTTCTTATATGGATTCTTCTTTCAATATTGCTTATTTTTAATTTCGAATTTCTGTTAATTTTAAATTGTATTCCTACTTGAACTCTTATTTTCTTTTTGCTAATTTTAGATTTTATTTTTATTTTTCTTCTGAATATTAACTAATATCGTATTGGGTTCTTGTATTGACTCTTCTCTCAATATTTCTTATTTTTAATTCCGAATTTCAGCTATTTTTGATTTTGTATTTCTACTTGGACTCTACTTTTCTTTTTCTCTGATTAATGTGGGAGTTTCTCTGATTAAAAATTGAACATAACTATCATTGGAATTTATTTTTTATTTTCTAGAAGTCCCGCCAACCATCAGTGGCTCTGCAACTATACTCCTATACACTCAACCCGCTGCTTCTCCTTTTTATTGTCATTGAGATTTTAAAAATCGAATATGATTATCAATGTTGTTTATTTTTTTTACTTTCTAGACGTCCTGGTAACCGTCTAGTCCATTTGCTTCACGACCTACCTGTTGTCCCTCCTTTTAATCGTCATTAGAATTCTATTTGGTATTTTATTAACAGTTATATGTCGTATCAACCGCCACCACTCTACTCCTTTATAGGCATATTACTTAATTTATCTTGTCATATGTTTTAGGTGGTCTTTTCTTTCAATAGTCTTTATTTTCTGTCACCAATTAGTTATCAATAAATTGTATTCCTAATAGAAATCTTTTTTTCTTTTTCTAATTTCAAAATTTATTTTTTTAAAAAAATTTAACTAATACCGTATAGTGTTCTTTTAATATTTTTATTTTTCAATTCCAGTTGTTTCAAAATTGTATTCCTACTCAACTCTCTTTTACTTTTTTTTTAATTTTTGATATTATTTTATTTTTTATTCTGAATTTTAATTAATGTCGTATCGGGTTCTTATATGGATCCTTCTTTCAATATTGCTTATTTTTAATTACGAATTTCTGTTAATTTTAAATTGTATTCCTACTTAAACTCTTATTTTCTTTTTGCTAATTTTAGATTTTATTTTTATTTTTCTTCCGAATATTAACTAAAATCGTATTGGGTTCTTATATTGACTCTTCTCTCAATATTAGTTATTTTTAATTCTGAATTTTTATTTGTCTTCCGAATATTAACTAAAATCGTATTGAGTTCTTATATTAACTCTTCTCTCAATATTTCTTATTTTTAATTCCGAATTTCAGCTATTTTTGAATTGTATTTCTACTTGGACTCTCCTTTTCTTTTTCTCTGATTAATGTGGGAATTTCTAGCCCCCACAGTGAACGTGGTGCCTTCTTTCAAAGCTGTTTTAATAATATAATAGATATTGTAGTAACACGGAACATGTATGTAGTAGTAACGATACTTCTACAGACTACGAATGTTGTTACTACGAGCAAGTAATCATATGTTAGTACAGTATGGTTGTCTTGTTACTGTGCAATTCCTGCGAGATGAGGATACGAAAGAGGTGGGCGTGGAGGGAAGTGAGCAACACAAAAGATACATAATAGCAAACTAAACACAAGTGGATTATTTGAAATTCTAATCTTTAAACAATCGTATCTCTCGCATCATATATAATATTTTTGAACCGTTTCCACCATAATGCTTTAAAAAAAAAGCTTTACAAAACTAGATCCGTCATCACTATATTTTGACAACGTTATAATATTGTTACTGCAAGAAAGTAACCCTGTTACTGCACGATGGTCGTCTTGTTACTGCTCCTGCGAGACGATGACAACAAAGAGGTGGACGTGGGGGAAAGTGAGTGGGCGGGTTTGACCGAGGTCTGACCGGCGGGAGGATGCTTTGACCGACCTTTGACCGGGGTGGGAGGGGGGTTTCGGGCTCTAGGGAGGGTGGGGGAGGTGGGTTTGACCCATGGGAGGGGGGTGTAGAATAATTATTCTAGGGGAGGGGTGTAGAATAGATTATATATATATATATATATATATATATATATATATATATATATATATAGAGAGAGAGAGAGAGAGAGAGAGAGAGAGAGACGTTTATCCTGGATAATCCTGCAGTCCTGCCAATCGCGCTCAACTTTCTTTTTCCCAGACTCAATAGTTGAGCCTTTTTTGCATGATAAAAGAATCATTTCTGAGATAGATTGCTTGGTTTTGTTTTTCGACCCATCATGGTTTTATGAATTGGAACCATAGTTGGTTGATTAGCAGCACATCCCTGAACATAACAACCATGAAAATAGCAGAACACACGCTCCAATATATTTTTAGAAAGTGCATATCTCGGCTGGAACAACGCACATCAGCTATTCCCAATTTTTCTTTTATATGCTATTCCCAATCTTCTGGATACATGATTATTACCTGCTCGATCTCAGTATAAGCAGCAGTGTCTAATCACTGAGACATACAAAGTGCAGCAGTTAGCCTTTGTGTCCTCTGCT